CTTCTGACCTGAATCACACAATAGAAACCTTCACCCTGTTTGACTTCATGCCAGACGTCGTCTCCCTCAAAGGTCGAAGAATGCCCTCAGGAGTAAAAACACATCTTTTATACTTCCAGTTCTCTGCCGTGTTGTTCTGAACTTCTCCCTCGATGGCAGCGAGTCAAACATCCTACATCACTAATTACGGTTGCAAACCGCTGCATCATTAGGACGTTTTACTTCCAAAGTAAAACTTCCTGTGCAGATCAAAGATGCATTAATACTGAAGAAAACAGAGTAGGTCAAAGATATTTGCATTTCCCTTTACCAATTTGAGTCAAATTCAGGCAAATTCTGTGACTGCATTGGGTGATGTATACAACATAATGATTCCACTCAGATGTACAGGTTTGAAATTATAAATAGGCTTAAATATTTTTAATTTACAGAGGACTACTTAGAGTTAGTAATATCTTTATAAATTTTACATTTAAAACTAAATATACTTTAAAAGAAGTGTAAAGTATGAGACTTCCTTCTCATCTTGTTTAATCCAAGAAACCTGCAATAATTACGACCAGTCCAAAGTGTTTCTGCATTAAATGCTCTTCCCTACAATCTCAAACAAGTAAAATATTTAGTTCATAACTTTTTCCCAGAACCAATTTAAAAAAGTTAAGTCAGGTCCTCTGGATGAATTTAAAAAAAAAAAGGAGAATTATTTCGGCTTTCATCCGAAAGACTTCTTCAGTCTGAGGCGCTGTATTCAGCTCAGTCTTTTAAATAGCACTTTATCATGGTGGATCAACCAGTTTGCTGCTGACAACCAAAACCAGCTGCTCACATGATCAAGAAGGACCATCAGTCTAACAATGGATCTTTAGCACACTGATGGCTGTTTACTATTCACATAGGGCTGAGTGATATTAGCAATCACAACATTGTAAGAGGTGGACAGTTGAACATGGAGGCCTCCACCCCTGTTTAATGATGGACGATTTCTTTTCACAAAGATGGCTTCTTTTATGTTCCTCTCTATCAAGAATGCATAATCCCTGTGAATAGCAAGTGGCCATCAGGGTGCTAATGATGGATCGTTGGCACCCTGATGACCACTTGCTATTCACAGCACATGCCTGAGGCAAAACTGGCCAAAGTGGTTTGAAATGTCCTGATTGATGGTCCTCCTTTTAAGGTCGTTTTCACACCCGATTGTCTGAATTGTCGGTTTGATTGGGGACCAAAATACGGAACTTTTATTTACATTTTCAGCTGGTGCAGTACACATTCACACTGCACTGAGTCAATCGAGCCAAACTGTTCACCCCCCCTCACCTGTGGTGGCGCTGTACCAAGAACTACTCAAGGAAACAACGTGAAAACCTCTGAAGAAGACACTGAGCACAACTTACTTCTGGAAATAAAAACTAAAATGGAGTGGTGTCAAAATTTAGCAGTTTTAGGATTTCTGTTTTGCCTGTGGCTCATGTGCCAAACAAACATTTTTCAACAATGGACTCAGCATGAGCGGAAGATGAGGCAGAAGACCATGGAGAGTGTTTGTCACACAAGGCGGCTGAGATGGCTCCGTATGAGAAACACACGTTTGTTTTGGTTGTTTTAGCACGGAATGCCCAGCAGCGCTGTAATCCGCTTCCTGCTTTTGGAATGGGCTCCGGTCCGCTTGCATTCATACTGCATTTGAACCACACTAGAGTTCACTTCAGTTCAGAGTTCTACTGGAGGTTTCTTCCTTTTAAAAGAGAGTTTTTCCTTTCCACTGTTGCCACTGTGCTTGCTCAGGATGGGAGACTGCAACGAAGCCAAGATTCAACTCGTCTGCTGGATTCCTTAGATAGAACACTTTACTAATTGGCTTTTATGTGAATGTTCCTGTAAAGTGCCCTCAGACAACTCTGTTGTGATTTGGCGCTATATAAATAAACTGAATTGAATTCAACCAAACAAGAGACCTACAGGAGGTATTTAGGCAGACCAGAGTTTGATTCTTTGGTCCACATCAGAGTTTGATTGCACATTCACACCTCCCCAAACGAACTGGACTTTCTAGGCAAAAGGACGAGAGTTCGATTAAAGCGGACTAAACAGGGCTGGTGTGAATGCACCCTTAAAATGTGAAAAGCTAGCTCTGGATGTCCCCAACAAACTGGTTTATCCACTTTGAGAAGCTGCTATTTATAGGAGCGAATTTGTCGCATGGCTTCAGACTGATGGTCTTTCGGATTAAATTAAAAGTTAAAAGCTTTTTTTGTCTTCAGAAATGTCTTTTTGTGGAGAAATCATTGTTCTTAACGTTAAGTTATATAAACAAATGTGTTGACAGGCTTGATCCGTACAGGCAGCTCCAAACTTCAAAGTGTGAGAGATATCGCTCCTTGAAGGGACTATACTGGGAGCTTTGCATACGGCGGGGGGGCTTTACGTGGCCTGTCCTCTTTATGTCTGCATCTCGTAAGCAGCCCCCCGCCCCCCACGTTGGACTGACAGTGTGTGAGACACTGTCATTGTCAAGCTAACAGGGTACAACAGAGAGCATAGCAGCACCCGTAGGCACATCGAGCGACATTGGCTTGTGCAGTGAAGCCCACAGAGTCTTAATTGAATTGATAGAGAACACGGGGAAAGAGTCGAGGAAGTCGGGGAGAGAATTGATGAGGGAAGCAGAGACGGGGAAATGAAAGTAGGGAGAAGAGAGCAGAGACTTACATTTGAGGGAGAGACACAAGGAAAATGCAAAACGAGAGGGAGAGGTGGTAAAATAAACCAGCTCCCATCAGTTCCTTATGATGGAAAAATCCTAAAAAAAAAGAAAAACCAACAAATAAGCGTGAAACAAGGCAATGAAGAGCAGAAAGGTGAAAACTAAAGAAAGAGTGTTGGTTGATAGGAAGACTGCAAATAAAGTAAAATAATTACAGAGTGAGCGTGGACACAGAAAGAGGAATGAATCTATTACCAGGGTGTGATGGTAAATAATGAAGGGGGCAAAACAAAGGATTTAATGAAAGATAATGAGAAACGGAAAGGCAGGCAGGAGGTGAACTCTGGTGTGAATGAGTGTGTCGACTACAGAGTTGGTAATAGAGCTTCTCTCCACGGCTACAATTAATGCGCCCTTCAGGAAATCTGAGCAAAGAGCTGTTCACTCGGAGCCGTTTGAAACCATCCCGCTGAAAGTTTGGTAAAACAACAAGTGACAGAATAAATAAACCAAAGGCAGGAAAGGTGTTGATTGTTTCAATAAAAAGGTGGTGCAAGTACAGGTGGAGGGAGCAGCAGATAAACCTGACTGAATGAGGGATTGTTTCAGTTAAGCTAAGAAAGACGGTCAGCAACGTAAAAATCAGTCTATAAATTAAGATGTTCCATCCATCCATCCATCCATCCATCCATCCATCCATCCATCCATCCA